TAATTTTCCTTACTCTAATTAGTAATTTTTAAAGTTTATGTGCAAAATTTGATGTACGTATATAAAAGGTAAATGTATATCGTTTCTCCCGATTTTCAATATTATTAATTTTATTATTTTTATGCGATAATAAAGATGTCGCCATCGCGCTCAATATTGGAATACGGAATTAAAAATATTTTTGTATTCAATTTTTTAAATGTCATCGTGTTATTTAAGAGCAAAAAATTATTTTTAATTTATATTTAATTTCTTAGTTTATTTATCCCGATGGAAAATTGTTTTTTCAAAGAAATATATTTTTGATATTTATATTTGTAATTAATCGTAAATTTAATTTTACAATTAACATATATCTTTTTAATCCTTTTGTTACTTATTTTAACGCAAGATTATTCCATCAATAAAGTATCGTAATTATTTGTACGAAATTATTTTGAAATGTCTCGGACAAAATATAATCTCGGTAAAAAATAAGATTATCTTTCGATATTTCAGATTTTAATCTATACATGTCCAGGTGTGATATTTTGTGTCATCTGTTTTGTGAAGCTATTGATTTTATTTTTATAATTCAAAATAACAAGAAAATTATTCGTTGATATACACTTTAAAATAATTTATGATAATAACTATTTATAAGATATAGTACATTTTATATAAATCACTTTATATATGCGCGTGCACACTCGCGTGCGATGTGTGTACAGTTAGCACAACAGAGTAACAAGATATCTATTTTGCTTCCTGAAACCATAATCATATTTAAAAATATTTACATGAAATAATCTTTTATACGTATTGAATACTTTTGAACATATTTCGTTTCAGTTTTATCAGTGGCATAACATTCCTTATATTTATATTTTCGTACATATTCGAATTTCTATATCGGCCTAAACGAAACATTTACTAATTGTAAGATTTTTCTAACACTTTTCAACGTTTAGGAGTTACGTCAAGAATTCATGCGAATTACAAAAATTATATATATTTTTAACTCGTTTTTTAAATTCACTGAAAATAAAATATTAAATGTATAAAATTAAGTTAAATAAAAAATTCTTATTTTTATCAAACTTTACGTACTTGAATTGTTAATCAAGCGAATAAATACCGCTTTAATTTATATTCATCTGTGATATTGCATATTATATCAACAATGCTCGATACAATTAATCTTATAAATTGATATTAAGTAAAAAATATACTTTTAATCACATTCTTAGGACGATGTATAAGATTAGACAGTGAATATTAAGAAGATAAAAAAAGCGCTTTTTATACGTTGAAAAGAATATTGGCTTGAAAATAAATTATATTATCATCTTTATTTTAGCAAGAGACTCTTACAGAAATAAATAATTACAATGAAAAGTTATATAAAAATACCAAATTCGTATTTAAAAAATGTATAATTATTTATTATGAGCATATACAGGCTGATTCTACATGAAGAAACAAATCGAAAATAAAAAATAAAATTTTTTCATTGAAACTTTCGTTATCAAAGAAATCAACTTTATCACGCGAACTCGGTGAATATTCAAAGTCGATTTTTTCAAAAACGAAGCTTCGAATCAAAAAATTTTATTCCTTTTCTTTCAATTCGTTTCTGCATGTAGAATCACGCTCTTTCCGGTTGTACTACCATTGCTGCTGGAACACCCTGTATAATTATATGAAAAAAATGCAACATATTTTCTGTCCGATTTTTTTACATCTTTATTTAAAAAATAAAAATGCTTAATACTTCTGTATCTAAATTATGCCGCTTCATCGAATACATGCTTGCATTTAATAATAATTTTGCTAAGGCGCTTTATCCATCAATTATCTTATTATAGATGCATACCTCTGCGTCTATACTACTCTATTTAACTGCAAAGAACAATCTTATGTACTATATATTCAACGAATGTTTAAATATTATAATTGCACCAATATTTTATTTTATATTATAATATAAATTATTATATCGTTAAAAAAATAAGAAATACATGTACAATTAATTGTAATGTAATAATTAATATTTTGTGTGTTTTTATTTCGTTTGAAAATAGAATCTAAAATAACTGTAAATAAAAATATTCAATTTACATTTATTAAAAAATAGTGGTTAACATAACTATTTTCATTCAGTTTATATATAAATATAACAAAAGCAGTAAATAATGTAATAAAGAGAATAGTAAATAATTAAACATTCGTATAAAGAGTTTTTTAATTTTATTATTGGTTAATAGTATATATATTCAAACTGAAGGAAGTATTTTTAAACATCGATTTTAAATGAAAAGCATCAGGCTATTAATATCATTAACCAAAATTGAACATCTGAATTAATGATTTTTTGAGATAAATAACTTGATATCTTTATATAAAGTACTATGACTTGCATCAATTAGTGAATTAAAAGATCTATAATTGCATTTAAAAAAACAAATATAACCTTCATAAGTTCTCTATACTTATTGTTAGAAAAATCTTATATATAAAGGGTGATCAAAATTCACGCAAGAAATAATTTTGATAGAAAACACAGGTTTTTAATTAAAAATTGTAAATATTACTCAACAATGAAGATACGTTATTTTTTCGTATAGTGTTCCACTTTTAATAACCCTGAACTGTCAGCTGTCATGCTGCCTTTCTTTTTCGTTGACAACACTTTACCACACAAATGACGCAAAATTCAAATCTTGCGTGAATGTTGGGACCCCTATATATACAGAGTAGATCACCACATATTACCATCTAGATATACGTCATTATTATTACGCATAGCGAAAAATGTCACGGATGAAGTTGAATAGTTTTGAAAGAGGCATATTCTGATAGTACTAGTTCTTTTTGTAGATGGATTTGTGTAAATGTAGATCACCACATATTACCATCTAGATATACGTCATTATTATTACGCATAGCGAAAAATGTCATATATATATATATTCACGTTTGATTTTATTATATTATTATTGTATTTATTATACATTAACATATGCTATATATAGAATACAAAAAATCTGTTAGAAAAATCACAATTGAGTATATTATTAAAGATAAATAGATCAAAGATGTAAAATCTAAAAATCAAAAAGACAATTAAACGATCACTCATTTTTTTCGTACCTATAACAAACCGATGTTTCAGAAAATTATATCGTGTTAATTTATTATTAAATATTCTTCATTAATTCCAA